GGGGGGAGGGGGGAGGGGGGTCAAGGGGGGGTAGGCGAGGTAGGAAGTTTTGAGAAATGATAGTAAGCTCGTACAATCAACTGTGAGCAAGCGGGATGATATGGTGACGACTGACGAGATTGCGAAGCCATGGAAGAAAATTGGAGGAGGGAGAAAGGAGATTTAAAATAGGTGATCGACCGACTCAGTGGGCCGAGTGAAACGTTCAGCAGGAACCCAGGCACAGGATCAAGATCCGGTCGGGTCGAGGTGGGTTGGATCCTTGAACCAGGCCAGGCCAGGCACAGGCACAGGCACAAGAGGGATCAACTAGGAATGCAACCGGCTACTTTTTACACAGTTCAATCAAACTAGTGCTGGGGTTTACTAGTGAAATAATTTCCTTCCACGAGGGAGGAGGGGCTGGAAGGGGATCAAGGCGAGGGTAGTCAAGGTACATGAATCCCTTCATAATGGGCATGGAATGGAGGATGCGAGTAGAGGGAGTAAAGGGGGTCGGGAAGGAACAACAGGAAGGATAATAATACCTGAACTCCGTAGATGGAGTAGTTAGTTAGATAGCATTATGAATGAATTTGGTAGGGAGTCAGTAACTAGGCCCCTAGGGAGTAGTCAAGGTAAGTGATATTAAACCCCCCTTGGGTTAACTACTAGTTAGGTAGCAATTCCGCAGTGATTGATAAGGAAGAGAGTGAGTGAGTGAGTGAGTGATGCAACAAAGAAACAATAGGATTGATGATTATATGACAATTGAATGGTGACGGATCTCATGATGGGACAGGGCCTGTTGATCTTATTACTTTGACAGAGTAGGACTTGGTACTTCGTACTTTTTGTCTTATTTTGCCCCCTGGGATGATGCATCGTCATCGGGTTGGGTTTGGTTGGGGCTTATCTTACTCGGGACTTAGCCTGTCAAAAATGTCAATGCGAGTGTGCTTGCAGTTCGTACCTAGTGTCATTCGAAGGGGAAATCCGTCCGTAATTGATTGCACAGAAGATAACTAAGCTACTCCGGAGTAGACGGTTGCCTCTCCCTCTCTCTCCCCCTCCGGAGGGTGAGGTGGATGCATCAGAATTGATACATCAACTGTTGAGGTTATGTCCAGTGGAGGAGGGTCCATCCACCAGTTGCCTCCCACCGCCTTCCTTCCCATCCAGCAGCTGTGCGAACCGACTTTCCCACTTCGGTCTCGTGTTTCTCTCTCTCGACTCTCTCTTCTCTCACCTCTCACCTCCTTCCCCTCTTGTCTTCCTCGCCTGCAACCTCAATCTTCGCCTCTTCTTCACTCACAACTGAAAAAAAAACAAAGAAAGAAAAAAAGTCCCAGTCACTGCTCACTCAAATTGGAGAGGGGCACATCAACGACTATTTCATTGTGGGCATCGTCATGCGAGATGTCGACTAGGCTGCCAGTCAACATCGACAATATTTCTTTTTTGCCCCTCCTCCTCTTAGCGCAGACGCTCGCCCTGTGCCTCGTTTACCAATAACAATATAGATCATTTCGCTTTCTCTCGCTCGGGGTCTCTGTCTCCCTCTCTTCTCTCGAGAGAGAAACCCGCGAGGGCTGGCGGTCGACTTCTTATATTAAAGGCTCCCCAAAAAAGAACATGGGTTGACCACTCACCGTGTCCCCTACCTTGTCTCCCCCGGTCCATTAGTATTAGTATTATTTTGATTATTTGATTATTTTGATTCTCGATCTCGATTCCTCTGCTTCTTCTTCTTCTTCCCTTTCCTCCCCCACTCTTGTCTCTCTCTTCTCGACCTCACCTAGTCCTTTCTCCTCTTTTCTCTTCTTCTTCGCCCTCTCCTCCTCCCGTCCTCCTCTCTCTTTCTGCACAGTCCATCTATCTCTATACTACCTGACCTTAACTTACATGGGGTCTTTTTGAGTCCGGACCGACCTTGTTTGTCCTTTCCTGCGCAGTGCCGCGGCTTCGATGCGACTTCCCCATTGGCCTGTCGCCTGATCTCGAATCGATCGGACGTGGTCCGTCGACCGCTTGAGTCGGCCTGACCCTTCCTCAGGCTCCTTACCACCGCCACCCCCCCCCCCCCCCCCCCTCTCCTCCGCCATGGAAGGTTTCGACGACTCCTTCTATCAGGCACACTATCCCATACAGGACCCCCAACTGGGTCCTCCCTCCGATCATCCTCACGCCCAGCAAAATTCTCTCCTTCCGCTAGCTTACCCCAATTCCGATCAGTTTCAACCGGGAACTTTTCCCTACCAATCGCACCCCTCAGATTTCTTGTCCAACGGTGCCCCTGGTGCCCTAATCCCATCCCATCCAAATGCATTGGCTCTGCATCAATCCGGTCTGCATAGCCACCACCCGGCCCCGTCCAGGACACCCGGTCTGGGAAGCCGAATCGCAAATGCCTCGATGCATGCCTACGATCCGATGTCTTTCCCGGGCCACGGCATGGTCATGAGCATGGAAGCAGCAAATAGCTTCGCTTACGATGCCTCCACTTTCCATACAACCGGCGCTTTAGATCCCAATCTCGATCGCCATCCTACTGTCCAGCGCCCCCCTTTGCCTACCCATGTCATTGATCTAGATCCTCCCGTTCTTGCTGCATATTCCATTCCCCGGAATCAATCGGCTCTCGCCACCACATACTGGGCTCCGCCTGTAGCTCAGGATCTAAGCACTCCCGTACAACCTGCAGTCGCCGCCGCCTCCGCCGCCCCCGCCGCTGCCAGGCCTCCCGCCGAAACCCCCTCCACATCGACGGCCCGCCCCGCGCGGCGTGCTGGTGCTGCTGCACAGGCGGAAGTGCAACAGCAGCCCTACGGGCAAGCCTCGAATACCACCGTATCCCATCGATTCATCCAGCCAAAGCGGCCTTCACCAAAGGGTGGGTATTGCTCTATTTGATTTCAATCTGAGTCGGAAGGCTGATGCGGATTCTTTACGCTTCTTAGCAGCCGTACCGCCTCGGGCCAAGACAGAAGTGGGTAGCGAGTCTCCATATTCCAGCATTTACTCCAGCAGTGGCTTCGATATCTTGGGCATATTGGTAGGTTCAAGTGCTGACCCGCCTACTCAACGCCATCGCCCACTGATCGACTTCCTTCTAGGCTCAAGTAGTGTCCCGGCCGGATGCCAAGATAAATATTGGTGCGGTGGACTTGTCCTGTGCCTTTGTGCTCTGCGATATCACCCAGGATGACCATCCCATTGTGTACGTCTCGGAAGCGTTCGAGCGGCTCACTGGTTACACCAATGATGAGATCGTGGGCCACAACTGTCGGTTCCTGCAAGGTCCCGACGGTGTGGTGTACCAGGGCATGCCGCGGAAGTTTGTCGATGAGAACACCGCCTTTCGCTTCCGGTCAACCATCGAGGATCGGGCTGAAATTCAGGCCAGTATCATCAACTACCGAAAAGGTGGACAACCTTTCGTGAACTTGGTTACCATGATTCCGATTCGATGGGGTGGCCCGGATTACCGCTTTTACGTCGGCTTTCAGGTCGATTTGGTCGAACAGCCCGACGCTGTCACCCGACGAAACCCCAGTATGACCCTCTCAGAACCCGAGCTGTTCATTGAAGCTGGACTGACATGACTCTTCCGCAGATGGCACGTACATGATCAATTATCAACGCAGTCAATTGCCCAACTACGTAGTCCCGTCTCCGGAGATGTACCGAGTCAACCCGGAGCTGATTACTATGTGGGCTCCGGAGCAGGTGTCGACAATTCTCGACAGCCTAAACGGCTCTATGCCCATCTATCGAGAATTACTGGATCGAGTTTTGGTGGAAAACACGGACGATGTCATTCATGTGCTTTCGTTTGAGGGTGAATTCCTCTATCTGTCCCCGTCTTGTCCCAAGGTCTTGGAATATGACGCGGTAGAACTAGTTGGGAAGGGCTTGTCCACCGTCTGCCATCCGAGTGACATCGGTCCTGTGATTCGCGAACTCCGTGCCTGCATTACTCCCGAGCCAGTGAGTGTGGCGTACCGCATCCGGAAGAAACATAGTGGATATGTCTGGTTCGAAAGCCACGGGTCGTGGCACATCACCGACCGCGGACGGCAATACATGGTTCTGGTGGGTCGTCCCCGGGCCGTGTACAGTCTTGATCATGTTGCTGTCGTTGGCCGTGGAGGCTTGGCAGAGAACGACCTTTGGGCTAAGCTGTCGATGTCCGGAATCGTCCTCTATGTTTCATCGAAGACGCGGCCGGTGCTAGGTCGGTTGCCGGAAGACCTGATTGGTAAGAGCATTCAGGACCTAATGGGAGCGGACACGCGACCACAGGCCTTGCAGGCGCTCGAGGCAGCGAGGGGTGGCCAACAGGTTTCGTTCAACCACAAGATCCGTCACCGCAAGGGCCACATGCTCCCGGTGCAGACGACGCTTTTACCCGGCGATGCAAAAGAAGGGGCCCCGCCTTCTTTCCTGGTGGCGCAGTTACGCTTCCCAAAGATGTCCACGCCCGGGGCATCTGACGAACCGGGTTCATCAACTGACCTGGGGCTCGCGCCAACCGGGGTGGACTTATCCGGGCTGGTGGGAACCAACCGGCTGCCAGCGGGCAATCAGCAATTAGCCTCGTTGGAAGATAATACGCTGTTCACGGAGCTGGCGCCCACGCGGGGTTCCAGCTGGCAGTTCGAACTGCGGGAATTGGAGAAGCAGAACCGCACCCTGTCGGACGAGATGCAGCGGTTGATCACACGGCGGAAGAAGCGCAAGCGCAAGCAGAGCACCATTGTGGTGGAAAAGAGCTGCTCGATGTGCCGGGCAAAGACCACCCCGGAGTGGCGGCGGGGACCCAGTGGCAACCGGGACCTTTGCAACAGCTGTGGACTGCGCTGGGCGAAGCAGGTGCGGAACGCGGCTCAGGCGACGGCCGGCGCGGTCCGCCCGGGCGTGACCTCATGATGAGTGATGAATTGTTTCGTTGTATTTGTGGATCCTTCTAGCGGTTGCTGCTTGAGTTTCTGGATAGTCTTCTGAGCATTTCATTCCTGAGATACCATTTGTGAGTAGGATGGCTTGGCCTGGCCTCCAAGGGGCGTGTGCGGTTTTATATGGAATGATTGATTAATTATGAGGGAAATGGATGGATGTGCATTGCTGCGGGCGGCGTTTTCTTTTGGTTGGGTGCGATGAATTTGAATTGTATACTACTAAGAAGGGTTTGACTTGGATATCAAATTGTGGCGGAACCTGCAGAAAGCTGAGAAGGAAAGCGTTTCGGACTCTTCGATGACTTGTCATTACAGTTGAGTGTCTAGTCTGTATAGCAAATGACACCTGAATATACTTCAAGCGTTCTATGAATCAATCGGGGGCCATTTGAGGGAGCATATATACCACTATACATACTCCTTACTATACATACCAAATATACTTGTATATGAATTGATGGAGTCTACATGAATAGAGGAACTACTCAACTCCTCCATTGCAACCACTTCTCCAACCATCGTCTCTCCTCGCGCTCCACCTCCCATCCATTTCTCCCATTGCCCCGAGAACCCACCCCAACTCCGCCGCGCTCCTCCACTGCAATGCGGACCTCGGCCGCTTCCATGGCCTGAACACCGCCACTCCTCCGGATCAACTCGTCATCCACCTCCAGATAATTCAGATACCGCTCTAAGCGCCGTCGATACACCAGGAGCACGGGCCAGGTCAGGCGATCATGCGACCTCGCCAGGCCGAACACCGTGCACGCCCGAGCGACCGCGTCTCGATCCCCGTCTCCACTCACGCCCATCAACCACCTCACGCTCTTCATCTCCTTCTCACTGCCGACCTCCGGCGCCGTGACCGTCCCGCGATCGAGGAGTAGCGCCACCTTCTTCCGTTGGACGCGCTTCGCGCGCTCCTTCTCCAACTGGCGGGGCACGCGACACGTCCGCGGGGTGACGGCATTGCCGAGCGCCAGGACGACGAGGGGCGTGAATTCGCCGCAGACGATGAGGAGGAGGGTGAAGGGGATCATGCGACGGATGTCGTAGGCGGCGCGATGGAGGAGCTGGAAGCTGGAGCGTGAGATGACGCCCCGCCTGTTGCTGTTGTTGTCCTTTGCTGTCGTCGTCGTCGTCGTCGTAACATTGGTGCGACCCTTGCTCGGCCCCAGTGCCTCTTGCGTCACCGCCAAATAGGCGGAGGTCGGGAGATGTGCGGGTAAGCCCAGGGCGCGGCGGAGAGGCACCGCGGCGCGGTGGTTGTGGTAGACATTCTTGAGGCCGGTCTTGTAGAAGGTCAGGTAGGCGCGGCCGACGGCGAGGTAGTGTTTGAGTTTGTCGGCGGGCGAGGCCGAGGGCCCGAGGGCGGAGGGGAGGGTGAGCTCTGCTGGGCGGGTGCTCGCGGGCGGGTTGATGTCGCTGGAGAGGGAGTGGCTGGCGGTGGAGGTAAGCGATTGCGGGGATGAGGTTTGGGACTTGGAAGAGGAGGGAGACGAGGTGGCGGATGTGGTGGAGAAGTAATTGCAGTGGTCGTGTCTGTTGAGCTGTTGTTGTTGGTGGCGGAGGAGAGAAGTGATGCTGCTGCTGCTACTGCTGCTGTTGCTGCTCAGGGAGGTTGTCGGCGGTCGTGATCGGAGGAGCACTCGGGCCTGGGGAGCTCTGAGGGAAACCGGCATTGTTTGCCGGGGGAACACAGTTGAGAGAGATAGGAGGAGTGGAAGAGCTCAATGCAAGTGAGGAGTACTTAGAGGGACGATTGATTGAAGGAAGGAAGGAAGAAACAAAGTGCGGAGTTTGGATGGAGTAACACGGCGGAGATATTCACCTGAGGCAACGAGGCATAATCTTCTGCCTTAGGCATCAGTAATCGTCATCGTGAACAACAGGAGCCGAATTAATCTCAATATATCAACTGACTTAGGATATTCTCTTGTCAAAGGTCATTCTCTGCTACCCCGTAGAGTCACGTTACAGTTTGATTTATCATCAGGGATCAATTGGTAATCCGTATCTGCTGACACATATGACTCACTCACCACCACCATCGCGATCTATAACCACCTTGAGGTATAAATCATCTCACCCCCCATCCTCGTCATCAGCAACCAAGCGAAGAATATGAAGACACCACACTTCCTCAACCACCTTGCCCACCACGCCCACACCGATACTCACCATACCACCCACGAATCAACCAAGACATCAACCGCCATGACCCCTCCCAATCCACCAATAACCTTCACCACCCCGACGGCGCTCCTCCTCATTGACAACCAAACCGCCTTCACGCATCCAACCCACTGGGGCCCCTCACGGTCCAACCCGCTCTACGAGCCCAACATCCAATCCCTTCTGCTCGCCTTCCGCGTGGCGGCCGCAGCAGCAGCAGCAGCGCAGACGACGCCCACCACGACCACCACCATGGAAGTCATCCATGTCTTCCACACCTCGACGGAGCCAGACTCGCCCTTCCACCCGGCGGCCCCGGTCAACGGGCGCGAGCCGCTCGACTTCGCCGTGCCCGCGCCGGACGGCTCAGAGCCCGTCTTCTGGAAATGCGTCAACTCGAGCTTCATCGGCACGGGGCTGGAGGCCCACCTGCGCGCGCGCGGGATCCGCCAGCTGGTCGTGACGGGCTTGACCACCGATCACTGTGTGTCGACGACCGTGCGCATGGCGGCGAACCTCGGCGTGGTGGATCGCGGTCGGGGTACCCACGAGGGCGGGGAGGAGGATGGTCTTGTGCCCGTGGATCAGCGCACGGGCGCGCATGCAATCCCACCGACGGCGGTTCCAGGGCGCATCCTCTTGGTAGGCGATGCGACGGCGACGTGGGCAAAGGGGGGCTTCGATGCGGAGACGGTGCACGCGGTTTCGTTGGCGAGTCTGGATGGCGAATTCGCGGAGGTGGTAAGGACTGAGGAGGTAGTCAAAGCATTGAGGAAGATTATATAGTTTTCTTTATTGGTCTTTTGTTTTTCTCCCTCTTGAATGAGGATACATAGAGGGAGGAGGAGGATTCAATAGCGTAAGTAATTTGCGGATGAAGATAATGATAAGAAAGTAGTTTCGCTTCAGTGTAGCCCCCCCCCCTACAACGGCACCTCCACAGCAATGATATTTTTCGACACAAAGCCTGTCACAAACAGCATCGCCGTCTTCGCCACAGAATCCTTGGGATCTACAGGGAGCAACAACGCGGTGCTGGCGGATCGGATGTTGCTTCCATCATCCTCGAAAATGAGCCGCTTCTCCCATTCCGGGTTCGCTGTGTCTCCGAAATGACGACGCAGGTGCCACACCATGACTCCTTCCTGAGCATGCGGGTCGTTGTGAGTTCGGCGAAGATCGACTGCCCGCAGCAGACCACCGACCACGTATCCGCTAGCGTCATCCTCGGGGGTTGCATAGGGATCGTCATAGTAGGTTGGATTATCGATCGTGCTCTCGAACGCAAACTCATCCAGCACCGAGAGGGTGCGGTTGCTGCGGTCTGCCCTTGCACGGTACATGATGCCTCCTGCGGCACTGGAGAGCAACAACTCCTCCTTGGACTGCCCATGGCCCAATCCATTGAGGTTCAGGTATCCCTGAGACGCCACGACGGCATCGACGCCCGTAGCTGCGCTGTTCGACTGAACAGGATCAACATTCACATGGATGACATTGGTCCATTTTGCCAACGGGAGTATATCTTCGACCGTGCGCATGATGCCTTCTCGATAGAAGTGATCGTTCGTGACATAAATCGAGTGCAGGCTCTCGGCGTAAATGTCGTTCGGGGTGACAATCAAAGGATGGGAAATTGAGCGGACATGGCGAACGGTGCTGGATCCCAAGACATGGTGAAAGAGCTCAATCTGGGAGTGGGCCTTCGGAATGCCTTCAGTTGAGGGCTTCTCAAAGTAGTGCGGGTTCGATAAATGGTTAATCGCATAGATGTAAATGGCACCCTGGCGATCCGGATCGTCGACCAGATCAATCCCATGCGTCACAAAGGGCCCGTGGAAGTTATCGAATGCAAGCCGCCGGGACTTGAGGGTCTAGTCGTATGCCATGAGCCTCGCATCACCATCATGCCGACTGGGCACGTCTTACCTTGAGGTCGATGACATGAAATGAACCTGTTGACTGAGCCGGCCCCTGCAAATTGCCTAGTGGCGGGAACCATTCGAAGCGGGGCAAGAGAGAGTCTTCACAGGCTGCAAAGATCTGGCCAGTAGGTTGATAGTAATGCATATCTTCGCACTGCATGGTGTCTTCGATCTTATGGATTTTCTGGGCCTCGATTGTCACGATGTCAGTGGCTGTCCGGAAGACTCCCACGACGGTGAGCCAGTGACAGACAGGCCAATAAAGATTGGCTGCCACCAAGACAAGGATGGCGAGATTGAAAAAGCTCTTCATAATGGAAAAAAGATACTCGAAGGTAGGCTAGCCAGCGTGGTCAGTCTGCGTGGCCGTGACTGCGCTTCTGTTGGGCCGGTGAGCGTGTCTACGTGTTAGTTGTCCCATTTCTCGGAACAACCTTCAAGCGGAGCATTGGAAAAAGGAAGGAAGGAGGAGGAGGAGGAGGAGGAAGAGGAGAGGAGGAGGCAAGGGGGCCGGGGGCAGGCCAACTGATAGGTGAGCAAATCTCCTCACCCAAAGAGGAATGCGGGGGTTGGGGAATGAGTGGAGAAGAAAGTGAATGAGCCAAAGAGAAAATGCTTGTATATATGTGTGTGTGTGTGTGCGTGTGCGCGACAGAAGAGAATGCATTAGGTAATAAGACGAAGTGTTGATGGAGGAGGTCGATGAGGAGGGAGAGCTTCATACCTTACTCTACTTAATCTACTGGTCTATCACACACTGTTTGCAACCTGAGAATTGGAGTTGAGTCTGAGTCTCTCACTATAGCTAATTTCATCATTCCATAATTCATCTCCTCCCCCTACCCCGCTTTTCGTTAGGCTGGATGCAATCCCCTTTTCCCATTCAATTACAGAGCCCCGGATTTAGCTAAGTCAGAAGAGAAAGCAAGGAAATAGAAACATAAAACCCAAAAAGCACCCCAGAAGCACTGTCCCCACTTCATTCATCGCTAAGTAACTCCATCCACAACCCAGAAAGTCCGTGCTTTCAAGAGTCCCTGTCGTGAACCAAGCCACTCCACTAATGCTGGGACTTGGCCTCGAGGTACTCTTGATCACTGGCATCCAGGATGTCGTACTCCTCGTCTGTCAAGAGACCAACGTCCGTCTCATCATCCAAGGTCAGACTGTCCATGTCATCCAGAACATCCTGCTCCGAGCGGTAGGACACCGAGGGTGCCGTAATTGCCGCTTCGTGCGTGCTCGACTCCGGAGACTCCTTCTCTAACTTGGGAAAGATCATCTGACTACCCGTAGGCTCAGGCTGATCAGCTTCCACAGCGGGTGCCGCTTGGACATCCTCGGACGGCGAGGGGGTCTCAGCCACCAGGTTCACGTTGCGCACTTGGATATCACACCACAAACGGTGGCCAAATGGCATGCCGGTAGGAAGCTTGAGTCGCCAATAGGAAATGGCAGTGCCTAGACGGCTAGGTGTCTTGAGGGTCACCGTGAAGTCGGCACTCTGACCGGGCTCCAAAGGCTGGCTCAACTTGTTGCTCTCCATGGCGGCGGCGATGGAGTTGAGGCTCAATGGGTGGTTGGTGTCCACATTGAACATTGAATCGCCACCTACAAACTGCACATCCGTCCCGGCAGGCCACGCCAAAGGACCCGGGTTGAACAGTGTCCATGTTTGCTGGAAAGGAGTGTTGGGAGCCATGGCCGTGTCATCGGGGATTGTGTCACGAATGAAGAAAGCTTGGTACCCAGAGGCGGGATCCACAGCCAGGTTCTGTTCAGTTTGTTCAGCTGGGGCTGGGGTCGTGTCCACAATAGGGCTGGCTTGCTCCACGGGAGCCGGCTCCTCAATGGCCTCTTTGGCTGCTTCGGACGCTTCCTGGACCGTCTGCTCAGGTTCACCAAGAGTGGCGGATTCAATTGAGAGAGACTTTTCCAGGCGGTCACCGATCATGGTCACGCCTTGCTCGGATCTATCGAAGGTGCTGACCCGGACGTCGCGCACGGGGGTCTTGAGCATGAGCAATGGGTGGGTTCGGTTATGCGTATTTGTCGGGTGAACCTCGCAACTGGCGCAGAAATCGGTATCATGGCACACGGAACACTTGTACCTAGTACCAGTGATGAATGTGGGACAGGACTTGGTCCGACACAGAGGACCGTCACAGTAGATACCGTAGTGCACCTCGTGGTTGATCAAAGGCTCAGCAATCGTATCATAAAGGGGAGCGAACCGATGACCGGGGTGTTGCTGAGGGACCTTCTCGTAGCATTCGCTGCAGTAGTCCCAGTCCGGGCAGGTCAAGCACTTGTGGCGGACACCAACGATACGCTAGCACAACCGTTAGTTGACTCTAGACAACATATAAGAACCGGACAGAACCAAGAACAATACCTTCTCGCATCCATCACAGATTGCCGCATGGTGATGATGACGCCCTGGGTTGCAACGCGACTGGACGATACTCTTCAAAGCGAACTGGCGGTCCTCAACCAGAGCGAATGTGTGGGCGGGATGATGACCATGCGAGTCCTTGAGGAGGCAGGTAATACAGAGATCGTAGTCATCACAGTCAGCACACGAGACCATCTTGCTCTCTTCATGTTCTATGACTAGTTAACATCTTATTAGATTCAGGATACAGACAAGGAGGTTTACCTTTGAGACAGTCATTACAGATACGCAGACTATTTGGCTCTGGCGCGGCCGGAGCTGAAGGTGGAGCTGAAGCTGGAGCGGGTTTGGGAGAGGGCTCGCGGACTGGTTCGGGAGTCGACATCGTAGGCGCCTCTTTGGCGTCCTCAATTGCTACCTTGCGGGGAGGAATCGTCTCGGTGGTACTGTTGGTGACTTGGCCATCTTTGACGACCCGTCTAATCAACCAGTGCTCTTCATTGAGACAGGTCGCTCCGCTGTTCACGCATTGAGGGCAGAGATCATAATCCCCATTATCGCAAATGCTGCAGTGATAGTGTTCGTTCGGAATGGACAAACCACAGCGATTGCAATCGATGCAGAATACTCCGCTGGGAGAGGCATGGGACACGACCGGGAAGTGGGAACCGTCGAACACGAAGTCACGGAAGTTCGGTGGTGGAGAAGGCTCAGTCTCCCAGTGAGCAGATTGAGTCTCTGCTGAGATGGGACAAGCCACATTGTCAACCAGGTCGGTGGCTGATGCGGACGCCGTAGTAGGCACAACTTCAGCCTGAGATTCAGGGAGGGGGGAACCCAAGACAGTTTCTAGGTAGCTATATCGAGAGGCAGTCTGCTGTTCAGACGATCCTTCCTCCATAGGGGGTTGGGAAGCAATCTCATCGGCAGTAGTGGCCTTGATTCGCAGCTTGAGTTTCGCTTTGGCTGCCCGGTAGAGTTGTTTGTAAACGGCCGGGTTCTGGCTGTCCAGGTGCACATAGTTGCCGGCACTGTCTGAGTACCGCTCAAAAATCACGTTCACGCCGTCCGGCACACTAAGCAGTTGGCGGAGCTAGAGCCAAGATAAGGGATCAGCATGCGGTAAGCAATGGGCGCGGCTTGCACAGCTGATCAAAATCCTCGTTACGAAGTGACGGAATTATAGGGAGGCATAGGCCTCCAAATGAATGAGACACATATACAGGGGAGGAGACATCATTCTAGCGAGGAAAGTGGTTTTCCGAAGAAAAAGACACTGGGGGAGAGAAAGGCAGAGAGTAGCGGAGGGAAGGGCAGGTTTAAGGTTGATTTTGGGGGGGGGGGGCGGAGGAGCTCCGGTCGGAGGTCGAGTGGGGACTCGAAACTCACATTCTGGGGTAGAGTACGAGCTCCAAGCTCTTTCAACGGAATCTTGAAGCGACGAGTGTTGTCATTATACAACACCTTGACTGTGATCAAAGTGCTGGGACCCACAGCTGAAGTGGGAGCAGTGGGAGTAGCCATGGTGATACTGATAATGTTGATTGATGATGATGTTCGACCGTGTGGAAGCTCTTGCTTGGCGTAGAAATAAGAGGGTCTGGACCTTATGGATCAGGCAGCACGGCAACGCTAACGGGCTCGGGCGTGATCAAGTAGTAGAAATAGTCTTGAAGTCCAAGTGGCAAAGCACGAGACAGAATTAGAGCACTAAAACAGCCCAGCTGAGATGATGTTAATTGAGAGAGAAAGAGAGGATGAAAGGAGGATAGATAATGGATAGATGTAGAGCGTGGGATGAATGGATGGATGGATGGATGGATGGATGGCTGTGGGTGAGATGATGGTTGATGAAAGGAGTCAAGGAGGAGTAAGGGGAAGGAGAGTGAGAAGTAACTAAAAGAGTAGACAGAGATAGAAAAGATTCAAAGGATTTGAAAGGGGGAGAGGGTGAGGTGGTGTTGAGGAAGATTAAGTTGGAAAGAGGGAGATGGGGAGATGACGGAAGAGAAGGGGAGAAAGAGAAGAGGAGGAAGAGGAGAGAAGGAGGAGAAGGCGGAGTTAAAGAGGGAGGGAAAAAGCAGCTGAAGCTGGAGGTCAGCTGGTTGCTTGAAGGCAGAGCCCTGCCAGCCTGCGCGTCCGCGGTAGCTGGCTGGCTGCATCCGGCCGAGGCGGTGAGCCTTCTATTTTACTCGATGTATCCATAGTACTATGTACAGTAACTTAGTTGTTACTATAGTACTATGTCAGAACCTACCTACCTAGCAACTTAACTACCTAGTACTCATAGTTGACTACTGTAAACTAAAACCTAAAAAATAATCACCTTGTTTGATTTCCGTCATTCCTTCCTTTTCCTTCTCGTTTTCTTTTGTTCTTTTTCCTGGGCCCACCGATCTGTTGACGTGATATACTCGAATACATTCAAATAGTGAGTACTGTACTCCGTACTTAGGATTGCTTCAGTGATTGTCAATTGACCTAGTTACTAGGTACAACGCCAACTGGTACATGAAGGTCTTGCTTCCCCACTTCTGTAATCATCATTGCCTATCTGTACGGCACGGATCTCCGGTTCTCTTCCACTTACCCCGACTCAGTGACTCCACAGAACCAGTGGAATGGCTATCGAAGTACCTGCTAAGTATTCTGTACTGTACTGTACCTCTGCTATCTATCCTTTCTTACCCCTCCCCCCCCCCGGTGGATCCGATGCCTGCAGAATTATGAGGCATTGCTGAGTGACATCTCATCGGGTCTCATTTTGGAATTCCCCGGTTCGTCTTGTCCACCCCTCTAGTGCAGTATGATTTCATACTGACCGGGAGGAAGAGGGGACAGTACTGCTGTTGCTCAGGGTGCTGCCACTTGGTGGTAGATCCTTTCTTCCGAGCCCGTTTTGACAGCCAGTGCTGACGTCACCATCAGATCGCCTGCTGGGGGATCACCTAGCAATTGTGCAATAATGCCTGCTATGCGATGCTATGGTCGGTCCTAAATTCACCATTAAGCTGTAAAAAGTGATGCAGTAATGCATCCATCCCTATTGCTCCATATCTCTCACATCCTCTTGCCGTTCCTTCTTGAATCTTCGCACTGGATATTTCTTGCATCATGCGACTCACAAGAAGCTAGTATACGAAGAACACTCCCTGACAACGTCTTGGCTCTTGGCTGTCGGCGCCGAGAGCTTGCCACTTTTCCCCTCTCAACTGACAGGCACCCACCGAACAAGCTTGGCCGCCGATCAGACCAGCTGAGTCTTTCTCATCGCTACGAATAGGCATCAACACCAACGAGAGTAGTGAGTATCATTCAGTACATTCATTATAAAGACCATGGAAACTGGACATGCAACGAAGTCACGAAAAATAAGGGCCATGGTCATTCATTCACCGCGTGCGTACATGGAACAAAAATGGTATCCGTACACCGGGAGGACTGGTGGTGTCCCGCAGCAAGCAACTACTGGCGGTCACATCGCCCGGAAAAACAACCATGAAACAAAAAAGAAGAAAAAAAGAATAAGAGATAGAGATAGACAAGAAGACACCGACGGGAGAAACGGCAATAGCTATAGAGTGATGGGGAAATTCAAGGGCGAATGACGAGGCGGGGAGATCACAAGAGTCGCTAGTAATGCAGAAAAGCCTAATCTAACCACAACTGAAAGACAGCCCGAACAGCATAAACATGCTCGGCGAGCCTATACCACGGAAAGATAAAACTGGAAGAGTGAGCATAGGTCACATCAAGAAGAGCCGTGGCAGAAAAGAGACATCATCACGTTTTCGAAGACATGTCAAAAATCGGTGCGTTTCCGTGAGAATGAAAATATGAGGGAATATAGAAAAATAATAGAAAAGAAAAATGGTCATCATGGAGGGGAGGTCAGAGATTTTAGAGTCGGTAGTATGGAAGGGATTTTAAGAAGATAGACGAAGAGAAGAGAAGAGAAAAGAGACGGAAATCGAGAAGTGAAGCCTCCAGTGGGCCAATCACTGCGAGGCATAGTAGACACCGCCCTGGGACTGGGCGTAATAGTAAGTTGCGCCTGGCGGTGTTAACATCCCACCCATGCCAACCACTCCACCAGGCGCGGGAGCATTGTGCATTCCGTATGACGAGTTGGGATACATCTGGTTGGGATCATAGAAGTAGACCGTCCCGCCAGCTTCATGGGCAACCATTCCTGGCTGCGACGCTTGTTCACCCGACGAAGGCGCCGCCGGCATCGTGTAGGGGGGCCCATGTTGTCCCTGCGGGAAGGCCGGCGCGGAGGCTCCTGGAGCACTTGCCGCGTTGAAAGTGGAATAGTCTGTACCTGAACTCGGGTAATAGACGGCAGCCGCCGGGTATGATGCAGGATAGAACACCTGAGGTTGCTGAAATCCGTATGGTTGGAACGGCTGCGCATGGATCGCGCGGTCGGGAATGTGGGACACAGGCGTTGCAGACGTGTGAGCAGCAGGTGCGTGGGCAGAGGCCTCGGGACCATAGACGGGTCCGTTGGCAGGCATCGGCACCTGGTGATGGAAAGGCTGCTCCTGTTGGGGCTGGGGCGTGTGGAAGGGAAAGGCTGCCGGCATCTCGATGTCGGCAACTGAAACGGCCTTCTGAGGACGAGGCTGATGCATCGGAATGGGAGCCGGGCGGCTCTCACGGTACGCGGGGGGCTGCGGTAAAGAAGACATAGGGGGCGGAATTGCCGACGAGGCGACTACTGGACCAGCAGGAACCTGCGGGATTCCCAAAGGCGGTCGGGGAGGAGGTAGGCGGACGACTGGCTTTCCATTTTCAGTGGTAATGATGGTAGGCCGTGAGAAAACCGAGCCGGCCGGCGAGTGCCATCCCTCCTGTGAGGGCGGCTTGCCCAAGGATGATCGTCGGCTGATACTGACACTAGGGGCGTACGTCGAAGTTGCATAGATGCTGGGGCGTCGCCCTGTCACAAAACCGCCACGACGTCCGCGAAAAGCCTGCTGATTCGGGCGCAGAGCCCGGGGGATGAAGATGAAGGACCGCTCTATGGCGGGAAAAATATATCGAGGAGGTTGGCCCGGAAGCGAGATCCGGACAGGTTTATCGCGACGTAGCGGAGGGCGATGCTGAGGGAGCCGAGTGTGTTGCTTTTTTGTGATTGCTGGATAGGATATAGGCTGTTCCATACCTGGTAAGAGGACCACCACCGGCACGTTCCCGATCAACGTAGTGCTCGAAAAAGACCGATTAGGCGGGGATGACCTGGGAGCCGTGGGAACAGGTCGCTGGGGGTAGTTCGAGAACCCTGTTGACACGGTTGGGGCCTTGGCTGTCGCTGGACGGTCTCCAGCGACGGTATCGTGGAGATCATGTGTCCACTGCCCTTCGCTTGCATCCGACTTGACGTTGTGTCTACAGCAGGTTAGCTGGTGTTATGGGCTGACACGTAGAAGCGACCGGCTCTACGAGATCGGGGTCTGGAACTTGACGCACCTGCGCACATTACCGTCCACAATAAGTCCATATGGCCTGGACTTCGATTTCGTGGAAGCCTTGTGGCCATTCGTCACAGTGTCGATAGAACGCTTATCGTGAAGGAAGAAGCTCCCTCGGGTGGGCACCAAAGCAGGGTTCTTATCCTTCTCCTTGGTTATGGTCCTCTCCTGCTCCCGGTGTTTCTTCTCTGTAATGGTCTCCCTTCTCGGTTCCGATGGTGGTGCCGATGGGGTCCTTCCCGTTAGAGGGCCAATCTCCCCTTTCAAGTCATCGAAATGGATCTCCGCCTCCCGGGTGGTGTCTTCCGATAGTTTCATGCCAATCATCATAGCCTCTGTATCTGACATCGTGCTAGCGAGAAGCCGTTTGCTCGGAGATGTCGAATGACGGCGCCCCGGTTTCTGGTTTACTTCTGGCCTTCGGCCATTGAGTCGTGAAGCATGAGTGTGCGAAGATGTTTGCAGCTCGTCGTCGCTTTCATCACTACCTTCTCCATCGGCGTCTTCATCATCTTGGTGGCTGATAACAGAGCCTTCGCTGAGAGAGTCATCCTCCAGCTCACCGTCGAGTGAGCCCTCATCTTCGCCTTCCTCGTCTCTTCTCCTTCGGCGGCTAGCACCGATGTTGTGACGTCGTGGGGCCATCTAGACGAAGTCAAATGAATCGAAAGAGGGTAGCTATAATGATCGAGGATGATTGCGGTGTAGGCAAACGAGACGAATTATAAGAAATGATCGAGGTGCACTGACGGCTTGCAGGAGCAGGTGTTTGCTAGTGGTGGTGGTGATGAGGATGGTGGTTGGTCGGCTGGTCGGTTGGTTGTGGCTAATGGTGGTCGGCGGCGGGTGGGAGGACAGAGGTCAAGGCAAACAGAACGGGGACCAGGAAGAAGAAAGTAGTGACACGCATGTGAGAAGAAGGGGAGGGGGGGAGGGGGAAGAACGAAAAAAAAAAAAAAAAAAAAAAAAAAAAAAAAAAAAAAAAAAAAAAAAAAAAAAAAAAAAAAAAAAAAAAAAAAAAAAAAAAAAAAAGGGGGAGGAGGAGGA